ATATGCTTTCTATATCCTTTTAAATTCTGTAAAATCTGTGGTAATGTCTCCTAGATCTTGATATTGTAATTTAAAAAAATGTACAATTGATATTGTATAATAGGAAGAAAAGGTCTATAGGAGCAGGAGAAGTGGGAGGGGTAGGGGAAAGGAAAAAAGGGAAAAGAAAAATTTTAGAAAAGGAAAAAAATGGAAACAAAGTCTTTGCAAATAGGGAAGGGTGGAGTGAAGGGAGGGCAGGGGAAGTGGAAAAAAATAAGAACCAAGATACTCATGTAATGGTACAAGATCCCAATGATGAATGTAACTGTATTTTACACCTAAAATGTACCAATAATCTTAATGGGGAGATAAAAAGAAATAGAAAACAGTAAATGTATGGAGAGTCATCTTAATTACTATTCAACTTTGTGAGAATATTTACAATTTTAAAAATAACTAGTTTTTACTTACCAAATTTATTTCTGAGATTATCAGGGTTTTTGTTCATTTGTTTATGTATAGAATTTATATCTAGTGTTGGACCAGTATAGAATTAATATTTTCTTCTAGAAAACTAAGTTTGAAAACCTTTTTCTTGGAGAAAGGTTTTTCCAGCTGCCAATAAGATTTCAAAATGTTAAAAGTCATTTTTCTTCCACATGATCATTTCTACTTTCTGGTATTTATTTTGAAGAGATAATCATCAGAAATTCCAGGACTAAGAACTATGTAAAAAGATATTTTTGCACCATTTTTTTATAATAGGTAATCTAAAAGTAAGTATGTATTAGTTGAATCAACTCATTATATTGTAGATCATCACTTCCATGAATTACTATGTAGCCCTAAAATGGGATAAAAATAATGATAATGAGGTTAATACTGATAGCTGGCATTTATTGGGTACTTACCGTGTGATGGCTACTGTTCCTGGATGCTTTACATACAGCTACTGGTTTCATTACTGGGACCCTGTGGCCTAGGTTTCAGTATATAAATGAGAGAAGAAATCTCTCCATGATCACAAGATCTGCTAGCACAGAGCAGAGCATTTGAATGTGAACACAGACAGTCAGGCATCGGATATCAGCAGCCCAGGCTGCAACAGAGTTCCAGGGGGGTACCTTTAAGAGTACCAACAAAAGGCAGAAAATGCAATGATTTCTTTTCCTGCAGCCCCTTTGGTGGCTGGAACCAGCAGTATGGAAGGCAAACCAGAGGGACCTACTTGAATTTGATCCAAGTCCCTGAGAATCCAGAGTAACTTGCCTTGCTTTGCTCTTTCTCAGCCTTCACCCGGTTCCATAAACAGTCAGTATATGTTTGATGTGGTAGGAGATGGTGACCTTCAAGGATGTGGCTATGGTCTTCAGTGAGGAGGAGCTGGGGCTGCTGGACTCTGCGCAGAGGAAGCTGTACCGAGACGTGATGCTGGAGAACCTCAGGAACCTGCTCTCCGTGGGTGAGGCTGGCTCCCTGTGTGACCCCATGGCTGCCTCCTGGGTGTCTCTCTGGGCTCAGGTGTTTGAAGTTCTGGGACTCTTGAAGTCATTCTCTAAGCTTGGGTGCCTGAAGGGCCCAAGGTCTCTGTGTAGCACAGACAGGAGGCCTCTGATTGTTCTCTCCAGGCCAGAGTCTGTCTTTTGAGCTATAAATGGGCAAATTAGGGCCCTGCTCCATTGGTTTGTCATGAAATCAGCTTAGTTAGTTGCTCCAGTTTTGTTTTGGTGTTTATTTGATTTATGGGAAGTATTACTATTTTTTCTTTAACAATATATTTGTAAATAATTTCAAATTTGCAGAGAATTTATAAAAATAAAAGAGCAAGAGTAAAAAAAAGACTAAGAATTTGGCATCTGTCTATGAAAATATTATGTTTGGAACAGTTTAAGCTCTACATAATAAGCCACAGCAATACAGTTGAAAAACTTAGAAGGGTATATGACATCAAGATGGTAGAACAGGATGTTCCAGGTTTCACCCTTCCCACCTCCAAGAATACTATCCAGAACACTTTCATAAAAATCCCAGAATTTCCAAATGAGACATAATTTCCTGGACCACATAACCCAAACTCAAACCCAAACGTTAGAAGAATAATAAGAAGGTCTCATTTTGACAGCACTGCTCCTCCTACTAGATGATGCAATGTCACTGAGGGAAGATTTTCTTGGGTCCACAGTTACAACAATGGGAAAGAGAACTGGAGGTGAACACCTAGCTGATCCGGCATTTGGTGACAGTTCTTAGGAGGCCCACTCCTATCTTGCCTCATGGGGAATGTGAAGGTAGAGACATAACTAAACTGTCTGCCGTGCAGTAGAAAAAAAACAGAAGATAGGGCTTATAGCAACCAGCATGCAGATCTGGACAGTGTCTCTGTTTTTCTTCTAGCAGTGATGATCAGAGACACCAGCCAATAGCATAGCATACCCATGAAGCAGAGCTGACTGGTGCCAGAAGCACAATGGAAAGTCCTACATGTTTTGAGACAAAATAAACCTAACAGACATTTACAAAACATTCTATCCATGCAGGAAAACACACATTCTGTAGGTTGGCTTCATTGCTGAATTTTACCAAACATTTCAAGAACTAATACTAATTATTCTCAAACTCTTAAAACAAAAAAGTAGAGGGAACTCTTCCAATTTCATTTTGTGAAACCAGCACTACACCAATACCAAAGCCAGACAAGGGCATTGCAAGAAAAGAAAGTTGTAGTCCAATATGTCTGTTAATCAGTGATGCAAAAATTCTCAGCAAAAATCCTCAACAAATTAAATTCACCAGCACCCTGAAAGGATCATTCACTATGAACAACTGGGATTTACCCTTGGAATGAAAGATTGGTTAGATATTAATAAATCAAGAGGTAGGACATAAGAACATAACAGAATGAAGGACAAAACCCTTATGTTTATCTCAATAAAGCAGAATAATATTTGACAAAATTCAATATCCATTCATGATAATAGCTCTTAACAAATCAGGTATAGAACATGATAAAAGCCATATATGACAAGCTCACACTAACATCATGAAATGAAAAATAATTCCATATGTAGAATCATGTTCTTGGTATAGATTCACAGAATTTGAGTAGTTCAAATACTGTGACTATTTTAGACTATCAATTCTCATTATAGACTTGTTTTCAAAAAGTTTTCATTAATTGAGCACTTTATTTGATATGCATTTCTAGATTCAGATGTTTTTATTGTTTTCTTTGTTCCAATCCTATCAGATATATACATTTTATTACTTTAAAGTCCCCTTGACTAACAGTGAAGCTTAATATCTTTGTGGTTGCATTTTGTCTTGGTGTATTATCTTTTCTAGTCTCTTTCCTTTGTATTTGTAGTATTTGAAGATTTTTATTTGTTTGTCTATTTGCTTAGGTACTGTGAACATTAGCCTGTGCACCTTTTTCTAACTCAGTAGATTTTTTCAAATGACATAAAGAGACTTTTTTGTGGTTAATAATTTGCAGGAAATTTTGTGATGTGATCAAATAGAAACCAAATACACAGTACTTCAAAAACAGATTGTACATGTTACTCGTTAACTAATGGTGTTCAAGAATGACATAAAAACCTGATCCCTCAGGTATAGTGCTTTCCTTTGTGAATGTTATTTCTTTTCTTTTTTAAATGCAACAGTTAAAACTTACAGGTTTTTTTTTTCTTGTTTTTTCTTTGATTGACTCCCTAACTCTGCCTACACAGACACACCCTCAGGATATAGGTAAGAAATTTACTTGCATATCAGTAAGGAATGACTAAATTAGTATAACTTTTTTCAATTTAATTCTTCCTCGTTTCTCTCTCTCCTTATGTTTATATATTCTGATCAGTTATCTCAGCAGTCCTGTAGAATTTGTGTTTTGCTAATCACATTACTCAGTCCATAGGCAGACAGTTTTCACACTCAGAAAGTAGTCAGCACTGATGGCAGGATAAAAAGTGTTGTGAGACGTGTAGTGGACTTCACAATATTGGTATTTATTGAAAATGTGTATTTTTATAGCAACAATGGAATAAAAAATATGAGTTGAATTTTTCTAGGAATGTGGTTGCCCAGTGTATCTCCCAACTAGATAGTAAATACTTTTAGGGTACACAAGACCCCATGTCCTCATTCAACTGGGCATTTTCTGCATACCCCTTAGTACTATTCAAGGCAGTATGGACCTTGAGGAAGGAGTGAATTTTATATTTCTTACATTCAAAGGGAAACATTTTAACTTTATTTGTTCAGAAAAAGGTTTTTTAAATAATCCCTCTGACCTGGGAGTTGCATTTTTCTGTAAAAGTTCCTGTGCAATGCAGTGGCCCTGAAAGTGCAGATCGTGTTTTACTCAGTTTAACAATCCCAAAGTGCCTGCTAGTGAGGTGTCATAGGGCTTGGTGAGAATGATCATTTTTTATTTCTCTCTCTCCTTGTTTAAAAAATCCTGTAGATTTTTGTTAGTTTAATATCTTTTATGCCTGTTTTCCTTTTCATTTCTATTACTTCTACCAAAATTAAGTTCTTGCTGACTTCTCAATAAAAAATTGCACAAGTCTTCTAATGTTTACTTTTTCAAAACATCCATTCCTCCATCCATCTATTTGACAAATACTTCTTATCACTTTCTATTTGACAGGCACCATAGGAGATGCTGGCATGTGATATATATCATTACCTGATTATGTAGAAATGTGCAATGGCTCCCAGTGGCTTCTGATTGAATCCTAAATGCCTTGGTTTTATGTGAAAGACTCCCATAACCTGAACCAAGCCCTTTCTATTCTAAAGAAGTCCTATTATTCACCTTTATGTTACTTTTTCATCAAAATAAATTGATACATATATCTCAAGTTTCATATCTCTGTACTTCTGTTCATAACATTCACAGGATTCTCTTCATACAGAAAGGGCTCCTTGCTACCCTGCTAATTGAATCTTTTACATTTCTCCTCCTCCTCCTCCTCTTCTTCCTCTTCCTTCTCTTTCTCCTTCTCCTTCTTCTTTTCCTTGTTCTTTTGTGGTACTGGGGATTTAACAGGGCCTTCATATTATGCTACATTTCCAGCTCTTTTATTTACTTAAAATTTTTAAAATTTTGAGACAAGGTCTCACAAAGTCACTGAGTTGCCCAGTTTGACCTTGAACTTGTGATCCTTCTGCTCCAGGCCCCCAGAGTGCTTGGATTACAGGTGTGCACCAGCACATTCAATTCTTTTACATTTCTCAGATTCAACCCATATACTGCTCCTCCAGTAATCTTGTTCTGATTCCTCATCCAGGGATCATAAAGCACTCCTGTCAAATACTGAAGCATTTCCCAAACTGTTTTATAGTCATGTGTACAAGTTACTTCTGCTATGAGTGCCTAGGATGCAGAGGTCCAAGGGAGAGGTCTTTCTTGATTACTGTTCATTGCCTCATGGTGTTCAGCATACTTTGCAAGACATAAGGACTCTGTAACTGCATCTATGTGAACAGACATAAGTGTCCTCTGGTTACTATATGCTCATTGGCAAAGAAATCTGTGATTTTAGGAGAGTCTCTGTATGACTAACACTTATAAACTGCACTGACCTGCAGCCTGCCATGGCATCTCCTATTAGGCCTGACCTGGAATTACATCACCTATCAGTAGTCTTCATATTACTAGAGCTCCAATCATAAATGGCAGTAATGGGGCATGGAGATAGTGTTTCTGTTTGGCATTTACATCAGAAGACCTTCAATGGCAAATCACAGTGTCATATTTGGTTCATATGACTTCTATTTTCCTTATTAGGTATATTAAATTACTTAATACTGTTTCATTTAATACTTTGTTTAAATGTCATATGTAGCTATTTATTGAGAAAATGTTAAAATAGCAGGATACATAATAATCTAAATATCCTTGCTTTTCAGGTAACTTCAATGTTAACCAGAAATTTATAGAAGAAAATATTGTACCCATATGAGTTGTGCCAGACTCCTTGTTTTGCACATGTGGTTTTTAATATTTTTACAAAACAAACATCATAAATTTCTTTAAAATCAACAAGTATGCCTACACAACTTTCTTTTCCTTCTCTGTTTTACTCTTTAAAAAATTTTTTATTAGTGCTTATTAATTTTCCAAAATATTGGTTTTCAATGCATGTATTTTGGTGATATCCATCCCCCCAGTACACTTCCTTATATCCTCCTTTATTCCGTTCCTCTTGTTTAGTAATAGTTTTCTCATCTACATTAATGTCATTTTAGATTCTTCATATTAGACATAACATAAAATACTTGTCTTTCTGAGGATGGCTTATGTTGCTTAACATGATGATCTCCAGATCTATTCATTTTTCTATAAAGGACAAAATTTTGTTCTTCTTTGTGGTTAAATAACACTCCAACGTGTACATTTTCTTTATTCATCTGTTGATAGGTACTGTCTTAATTCTCATTGCTGGGACAAAATACCCTTAAGTTGAAGGCTGAAAGGTCTATTTTAGCTCACAGTTTGTAGAGCTTTCTGTGCATAGATGTTTGGCATCAAGGCAGAGTGGCATGGCAGAGGGGCATTGCAGAGGAGAAACAGTTCATGGCAGGGTAGGCAGGAGGCAGTAGCAGCAGCAGCATCAAACCTCCCTTTGCATTTTATCCCATCCAGGATACAAGCTTGATTGTTGGTGCCACTGACACCCAGTGTGGGCTTTCCCATTATCCACACCCAGAACAGTTGTAAACTAATCAATCGACTAATTTAGTACCACATATCTTTAATCCATATTCACACACTCTAGATGGAACCACCTCTGAAAAGCCCCACCTATGAAAACATGAGGTTTTGGGGGGGACATCTAGATAAAAGCCATAATAGGCACTTAGGCTGGTTCCATATCTTGGGTATGTTAGTTGTGTCAAAATAAACTTGAGTATGCAGGTGTCCATATAGTAAGCTGACTTTATTTGGATATATACCAAGAAGTGGTATAGCTGGGTTTATTTTTTGATTTTTGAAGAACTTCCATACTGATTTCCATAGTGGCTGTACTAGTTTACATTTCCACCAGTAGTGGACAAGTGTTTCTTTTCCCCAGCATCCTTGTCAGCATTTATTTTTTGGTATTCTTGATTATAACCATTTTAACTGGGGTGAGGTGATATCTCAGTATAGTTTTTTTTTGTACCGGGGATTGAACTCAGGTCCTTGTGCTTGCGCAGCAGGCGGAGAAACTACTGAGCTAAATCCTCAATGTAGTTTTGATTTGCATTTTCCTAATGACTAAAGGTAGTGAACTGTTTTTCATATAATTATTGGTCATTTGTACTTCTTTTGAGAAGCATCTATGCAATTAATTTGCCCATTTATTGATGGAGATATGTGATTCTTTGGTGATTAGATTTTTGTGTTCTTATATATTCTAGAAATTAATCTGCTGTTGAAAAAGTAATTAGCAAAGATTTTCTCTCATTCTGTAGGCTGTCTTTTACTGTTAGTTGTTTCCCTTGCTGTGTAGAAACTTTTAAATTTGATGCACTTACATTTATTTATTCTTCCTATTATTTTCTGTGCTGTTGGAGTCCTATGGAAGAACTCTTTGCCCATGCCTATGGCTCAAGTGTGTCCCCTGTTTTTGTCTAGCAGTTTCAATAGTTTTGATCTATTTTGAATTGATTTTTGTACACAGTGAGAGATGGGATCTAGTATCAATTTGTGAATATCTAATTTACTCAGCACCATTTGTTAAAGAAGCAGTCTTTTTCTCCAATGTGTATTTTTGACTCATTTTCTAGACTCCTTTTGATGATATTTATTGTAATCTTATCTGATAGATTTGAGAAATGTTAATGCTTCTCAAAGACCATTATGTAGAAACTATATTAAAAAACTAAATACAACAATTATAAAATCTGGATGAGGCAATTGAATTATCAAGAAGATGAAAAATTTGTATCCTTCATTCTTAATTAATTTCCTGAGGCTATACATCAAGTGGCTGCTCCTGTGAATTTTTATTAGACATCAATGAGAATTCTGCCAGAAATCACTATGTGCCCTGTATGAACTGTTGTAGGACTATCATTGCATTTTCTCGGTATGTCCAGGAAGCAACCTTTGATGATATGGAAATTCTGATCAAAGATGTGATGAAATACAAAGATAAGTGCTTGGCCAACAAGACACTTCTAGAGTGTTCAAAACCAGCTGTAAGTAAATTGTTCACAATTCTTATATATGCAAGATTATTTGTCAACATTGAGAATTTCTAACTTGGAATTATGAAAAGAAAGATGCCCTATGCACATCATTTTAGTTTTGAATAATTTTAGTATTTAGGACAAGTTACTTTTCTCTGAAGAAGTGCAATTCTGTACTATGTTGTGCTGGAGGACTTGGGTGTGTACTTGTATGAATATGTTTTATGTACACAGTATGTCATGTATATAGGCAGAAAAGCAATTAACCCATTTATGTGAACAATTGAAAATTTTTGCATGAAATTCATATAAGTTACCCATAAAAATTCAAGGAACAAAGATTTGAAGAGAAAAAAATGTATTATGTTCCAGTGTTATGGGCATTCCAAAAATGGATCACTAGGTATTGAACAGTTAATAGCCTGAAAATGCAGATGGAAGTAGAGAGGCACTACTCTTACCTGCTTCCTTCAATATGTGCCCCACTGTGGCACCTCTCTTCTGGGTCTCCCCTATCTCTATGTCTAGAAGCTACTAAAGAACATTAGCAAACCCTTTTCCAATACATTAGCACACTGACCTTGTTACTTTGAGAAATGAGGAAAAAAGTCATAATGGATGGGAAATGGGAGCAACACTGAGAATAGGTTAAGGGGTCCTGGGTAGGATAAAGTTTCCCAAAGTATGAGATGGTTGTTGAGGGTGTGGGTGAAGAAGTTTTTTTTTGGTAATGGTTGGGAAATTGCCATCTCTTTCTCAAAAGATGACCCTGATCATTTATTGTGTCCCTTGTGTCTTCTCAAAAGGCAGAATAGCTTTACCATGACTAAAAATTGTCCTTTTCCTCTCTGTTGTTCAGAATAATGTTTTACAGGACATGATATGTTCAGTGGAGGGGCTGCCTCAAAAGCATAATTTTTCACACTGCTGTAGTAAAGTTGACTTTGAAAGAAGACATTGTTTCTTATATAACAAGAAAGCTGATGTAGGATTTCTGCCTCCTTTCCCTATTCTAGATCCTTAAGAGAAATGTGAGGCTTATAAAAATACCAGAGAATCTTTTCTAAATCAGTGTTTAATTTTAATAGAAAAATGATTTAATTGAAGCATTATTCTTTCACAGGAACATGGCTGACTGATTCATTAATTCATCCAAAATATATGTCATTTTCTGTGCTCAGAGTTGAGGATATAAATATGAATGAGAGAGATTGTATTAGTTAGCTTCTCCATCACTGGAACCAAATACCTGATGAAATTTAAAGGAGAAATGGTTACATAGTTTCAGAGGTTTCAGTCCATGGTCAACTGGTTGAAACTGAAACATGATAGAGGAAGAAGTGGTGGACAAAAGCTGCTTACTTCATGGCAGCCAGGAAATGGAGATCTAGGGAGAGAACCAGAGAGACAGCAAGGGGTGGGGACAAAGTAAACCCTTCAAAGGTGTACCCTTGGTGTTCTGCTTCCTTTAGCTAGACCCCACCTTCAACAGCCCATTCAGCTATGAACTCATTAGTGGGTTAATCAATCTCTGTAATCTAATCACCTTCCAAAAGCCACACCTCTCTGAACATAAGAGGAGGAACATTTTTGACTCAAATTCCCTGCTTTCAAGACCTTCACATTAGTGATATACATCTTCTAATGCAGTAAGGCCTAGGACAGAGGTGGATTTGCAGTGTTAAATTGCTAGTAAACACAAGAAAAAATAATTTCTTCTCCCCAAAGGGAAATTGCAAGTTTTTTCTTTTCTTTCTTTTTGGTACCAGGGATCAAACTCGGGTCCTTACGCTTGTGAGGCAGGCGGCGGAACTGTTGAGCTAAATCCCCAGCCCTGCAAGGTTTTTCTTAAACCTCAAGCAGATAGTAAATTACTGGATGTTTAGCCAAAAGTCTGTTTTTGATTCACTAATTTCAGAAGCAGAGACTTTTTCTGGAAAGCTGGTGTACTTTGAAACCTGTTGCAGGTTTATTTAAACAAAAGTAAATAGGATCCTTGAATCTGAATGGGTTGTGTATAGACCACTGTTCTTTGAACATGGAAGGGAGATCTGCTGTTCACTGGCCAACAAGGGATGAGGAGAATAGTCATAGATCAGTGTTCAGGATTAGAACTGTAATCACTAGCCTTAATTTGGAGGTAGCAACTCAATGATGAAGACCTCAGCAAGATTCTTCCTGGGACTGGATAATGCTGCCTTGTATCGCACTTTTCTATTATGGGACATCTTATTTCCTTTTATCTTCATTTTTACAACTTGCTTTTCTTGTCCTCTCCTTTCCCTTCCCTTTTCCATCTCTTCCTTTCTCTTCTCTACCATTTCTTCTTGTTTGTTCCCTTTATTGTCTCCTTTTTTAAAACTTTGAATTTTTAAAAGATGTATGTATGAAGTTGCCAGAAGAAACCCCTTTGTCTTTGCCCCTACACTACTAATTGTTGCTGCTCGCTTTGAGGAGGTGGTAAAAACCTGTTGTGCAGAACATCAGAAAGCCAACTGCTTTCAAGCAATGGTGGGTATTAAATTTGCTCCATTAAAGAGAAAACAAATCACTCAACATTAGGCTTCCAGGTCCTCACTCAGTATGAAATCTGAGGGCATTTACCAGATATGATACTATCTTGCTACATTCACTGATTCTCAACCCCTTGGCTACCAGCTGCTAAACTCAGTACTCTGTTTACCCAAGACCCTGGTAAGACAGTCACTAATTTTCAAGGGCTCTCTTCAGGCTTTTTATACTTTGCAAATTGGAAGAGATCCTTCTTGAGTGAAAATCCAGGTGGAAGATTTTCCAGTCTTAACAATAATCAGTGCCTATGGGATGGAGCCATCCCCACAGAGACAGCAAGCTCACAGCCCACTGCCCCAGGAGGCCAGCACTGCACCACTTTCCACCCTGTGCAACTCAGAAATCAGGATCCTGGCCTCACAGTTTAAATGTGCCACAAATGCAGTGTTCAATTTCTAAATATACAAAAATAAAAATCCCATAGATTTTCTGTCTCTGAATAAAATTCTGTAAAGGTTTGATTGATATGTAGTTAAAATAAGAAAATAGTGAGATTGTGCTTCTGTTTCAACAGAATTTTCTCTTTCTCCTTCAGGCCACACCTGTTACACAGTATTTAAAAGCATTTTCTTCTTATCAAAAAAATGTCTGTGGGGCCCTTATGAAATTTGGACCCAAAGTCTTAAACTCTATGTGAGTTTTATAATATATATCTTATCTCTACTTCTCTTTTTTTGTCTGTGTTCCATTATTGTTAAATACTTAATGAACTTTTATTTGTATTTTTCCAGTTCTCTAGGAGGTATGAGGTATGTGTGTTTATGAAGATAGCTCAGAACCAGCTCATTAGGACAGGATGAAAGAAGACTGGGGAGAAAGGGGCTACTTCTGGGATATGTTTTGGTTAGTCTGTGATGGATGTTTTTATTGGCCTGCCATAGGCTCATATCAGGAAGTGGAGGCCTTCACATAGTATCTCTTGCTGTAATAATTATGGCAAAGAGCGTCTCTTTCCAGTCTTTTTTGCTTGGATACATGATGCTGGGGGAGGGGTGGAATATCAGCCTAGAATTTTCGAGTGACTGTCTAGATTGTACAGCCCACCATCAGTTATTTGATAGAATATCTGTGCAATGCTAAATGGCCCCAGGGGTGTAGGAGCTGGCAGCTTGTTTCAGCTCAGAGTGCCTTCTTGTTGCACCTGGTATTCACATCATTTCAGTGGCTCTCAACTCTCTTTCCAGAAACATTGCTGTGTTCAGTAAAAAATTCCCCAAGATTGAATTTAGGGAACTTACCTCTCTCCTACAAGAGGTTTCTTCTATGTATGATGGGTGCTGTGAAGGGGATGCTTTGCAGTGCATCCATGACCAGGTAAATATTCTCTAAAACCAAGCAACATACTGATTTTTAGCACTTACTTTTTTCTTTCTTAAGCATGTAATAATGGTACATATTGATAGGATACACAGCATTATGACTTGTATTTAGATATTCCCCCAAAGCCTCATGTGGTTATAGGTGGGGCTTTTTCAGAGGTCACTGAATCTAGAGTGTGGGATTGATTTGTGGTACAGTGGTAGGCTCGATGGCACTAAGATTAAGGGTGTGAGTGTTACCCACCCTAAGAAAGACTTTTCTTGTTGCTTTGCTACCTTCTGGCTGCCATAAACTGTTTCCTCTCTGCCAAGCCACCCTGCCTTGGAACCAGCCGATTATGGACTGAAACCTCTATGAAATGTAAGCCAAATCAAAGTTTTCCCCTTTAATGTTGGGTGTCAGGTTTTTTGTTTCAGCAACAAGAAAAGAGGATAAGACACACAGCATGATATTATACATATTATACACACATGGACATTACATATCTATCTATCTATGAATCTATCTATCTATAGAAAGATATATGATCAAATTGCAGTAATTAGCATTTCCATGCCCTAATCATTTCTTTATGTTTGGAGCCTCTTTTCTACTTCTTCATAAAATGTATAACAGTCTATTGTGAAGTATAATTACCCTACTATGCTGTAGAACATTAAAACCTATTCTTCCTATCTAACTGCATTTTGGTAACTATACCCAACCTCCTTCTATCCCCTGCCCTATCCTAGCCTCTAGTAATTACTGTTGTACTTTCTTATGCTTTTGAGATCAACATTTTAGCTTCCCTATGTGAAATAAAAAATTTAATACCTGTCTTTCTGTGCCTAGCTTGTTTTATTTAATATCATGGCTTCCAGTTTAATTCATTTTGCCACAAATGACAGGTCTTCATTTTTTTTTATTAAATTCTTTTATTGGTACATTGTAGGTATACAACACAATTACATCTCTCATTGGGAATTGTACCTTTACATAATACATCTTGGTTTTTATTATTTTCCCATTCCTAGCCCTCCCTTCATGCCCTCCACCCTTCCCTGTTTACAAAGACTTTATTTCCATTTTTTCCATCTTCATTTTTTTATGACCAAGTAATATCCTTTTTTGGTAAATACACCACATTTTTAATCTATTGAGATACCTTAGTTGATTCCATATTTTGGCTGCTGTAAATAGTGCTGCAATAAAAGTGAGAGTGCAAGTAACTGTTTGAAAAGCTAATTTCATTTATTTTGGACATGTATCCAAAGAGGCATGCCTAGATCATGTAGCAGATCTATTTTTAGTTCTTTGAGGAGCCTTGATACTGCTCTCCATATGGCTGTATTAATTTACATTCCCACCAGTGCTGCATAAGAGTTCTCTTTTGTACACATTTTTGCCAGCATTTGGTGTTTTTTGCTATTCAGAACATAACCATTCTTCTCTGAGTAAGATAATATTTCATTGAGATATTGACTTGCATTTTCCCTGTGGCTGGTGAGGTTGGTCATTTACATTTCATCTTTTGAGGAATGTCTACATAGATCGGTTGCCTGTTTTTTAAAATTAATTTTATAGTTAAATTTTAGGTATACAATATAATGACATTCATCGTTGGAAATTTGCACCTTTCATTAATCTCTCTTGGTTCTTTTTTTTCTCATTCCCCTGGCCTCCCTTCAACTCCTCCATCCTTCCCTATTTACAGACTTTTTTTCCATTTTTTCATTTTCTCATATTAATTCCATTCCCTTCTTTCTTTTCCTCTCCCCCTCCCCCTTCCCCTTTGCCTCTTTTCTTCCTATTTCACATTATATATTATACCTTATAGTCCTTATTTACACTTTCAGTTTCTCACACTAGAGAAACTATTCAGTATTTACACATGTATGTCCTATTTATTTCACTAAAGAGCATCGCCTCAATGTGCATGTTTGCCTCTTTTTAAATAGGATTATTTGGGTTTTGTAGTTGAATTCTTTTGAGTTCCTTATATGGTCTAGATATTAATCATTTGTCAGATGAGCAGTTTGCAAATGTTTTCTCCTGTTATATCAGTTGTCTCTTTGCTCTGTGGATTGTTTTTTTTGCTGTGCAGAAACTTCTTAATTTGATATACTTCCATTTGTCTATTTTTACTCTTTTTTTGTGTGTTTTTGGGATCTTTTCTGAAAAGTCATTTCTTATACAAATATTTTTCCACTGTGGTTTCTCCTAGTTGTTTCACAACTACTTTTTTAGAGGTATATCTTTGATGATCCATTTTGAGTTGATTTTTGTGTATAGTCAGAGGCTAGTTTCATTTGTCTACATAGGGTATCCAGTTGCCTAGCACATTTTACTGAAGACATGCACATTTTACTGTTTGCAGTGTAGGTTTTTGGTACTTTTGTGGAAAATTGGTTGGCTGTAAATGTATGGGTTTGGTCGCACAGAACACGCTGAATCAACCCGCTGCAGATAGGCAGACTTGCCCACGCCCTACCGAGGTCCCCAGTTGCACTGAATACACTGAAATCACCCTGCTGCAGATAGGCAGCCACCTGGTTCCACACTACAAAGATGCAGAGGACACCAGACCACCAGACCAAGGTACTGAGTCCCGCTGTTTCCAGCCCAGAGGTAGGGGCTTCTGAGCCGTGGTCCCACAGCTCCTGGCATAGAGGAAGGGGCTTCCAGGACACCATCCCTCCCACCACTCCCTGCCCAGAATGAGGGGCTTCTGAGCCACCATCCCACTGCTCCTGATCAAGAGAAAGGGGCTTCCCAGCCACCATCCCTCCTGCTGCTCCCAGCCCACAGGAAAGGGCTTTTGGGACACCATCACCACTGCTGCTCCTGGCCCCTGTCCCACTTCACCCAGTACAGAGAAGGTAATCCATGTAGGCGCTAACAGCCCCCCGCCCCAGTCGAAATGAGAAAACACATAAATAAGTCTCAAAACCAGACTTCCAGATCACCTACAGCAACCCCAAAGGGAAATGAGATGGAACCCTCTGATAC